GATGTCAGTTTGGGAATGACCTACACGGACACGCGGGTCAACTCACAGCCTGAATGCTCCCCTTGGCAGGGACACCAGATGGGGAAGCAACTCTATGTGCATGCAACTCATCCCTGTGGAAATTAAAGAGGATGGAAAATCAAAAAGAGCTTGTCCTACCAAAGACACCACATAAAGCAGCTCTTGGAGGATCGCCCATCACCCTATCAGGCATTGCTCTTTTTGTCCAAGGAAATGGATAAACCAAAGAAAAAAGGAACGTCTTAGTTCTACAGTATATACATTGGGTAGACCAAACATAAATGAGGGCCTAAATAAGAGGCCTTTTCCACACTGCAAAGAAAAGTCAAGAAATGAATGAAGGTCACATCACATCAGCCAACCTTTTCCCATCCCCTATCTTTCTCCAAGCAGCAGGAGAACAGTTTTCCAGTGAACAGCATCGTGCGACTCCCAAAGCCAGGGAGCACGAGGGATAGAGACTGTTTAAAAGGAGGTTAAGTAATACGTTTATCACAATACAGTACCATAGAGGTGGGACTTCTCCAATACTTTGTGAAAGAGGCCTGGATAACAGTACTTGGCCAGTTTGTGGTGACTCCATAGATCATAAAGTAGCATGCAGGCCTTTCTGTACTACTTACAGCTGACCTCAGGAACATTAATACATCCCTTAGTGTCACAACTCAGGTAGGGAAATGGTAAACTTGCTTTTTCTAAGAGGTGTAACTGAGGAACAAGAAGGTTGCAACCTTCTGAAAGCCTGTAGCAGAGTCCGTTAGCTCAATCATCTCTGTACTAGGTAAGCAGCCAGCATCTGCAACTGAGTAGTCTACTGTCAGGGACTGTTATAAAAGAAAACATGAATGCAATGCACTCCAAAATCCATCAAATTTGGACTGAAATGTAAAGCTGTTCTAGGAGCAGTCTATTACTCTGACATCACCTCGTAGTAGACTGATGTGTATTTACAAAATTTTCCTGCAACGCTGATCAAAAATTGACAGTGGGCACACAGCCCAGTAGCAAACACAAAACTCTTCCAGAGCAGCTATTAATTCCAGTGCTTAGCTTGTTCTCAGCCTCAAAACTGCAACCAGGAATGCAACAAAAGTTATCTGTCAATCTGTTCTCTTTCTTATGTTATTACTTTATTTTCTTGCTAGGGCTGTAAAGGACATGGCGGTGAAAATGTTAACGCAGACTACACAAAAGTACTGCAAATATTTATTTTAGCTTAATAAAAGCCATGTTTAATCCAGCCTTTCATGTTATCGTAATCTACGTATCAGCCTATAACCTTCCAGCTACATGGGCTAAGTAGATTAAACCGCTTTATCAACTCTGATTGATTGGAAATGTTTTGCACTACATTATCTAGAGCCAACAGTTCAGCATAAGTACCTTGAAGAAAGTTTCTTCCCTTTAACAGATTTTTGAAAGCAAAAGTTTAAGCTGAATTGCAATGAACTGCATTTTTTACAGATGAAAAGCTTATCAAATCCACTCTAAGTCAGCTTCTGCATACAGATTTACCCAAAATAACTGACTAATACTGCAGTGCATCTATTTTGTTGTGCAAAAGCAACCATATAGCATGAAGAAAAAAGTTCCCTCTGCTAGCTGAATGGCCTAGCAGTGTAACACCGAAAGGTGGCACTGTTGGGACTGTAATTTGCATAGATCAACATGTAAAACAGCTGTGAGAAAGGGCAGTTGGGATTTTGCTTGTACGTAAATACAAGCTGCCTCTAGTTTTAATTCTGCTCCTTAAACAGGAAACTTGGAAAGTTTGGGGACAATGCTAAATAGGCCATGAAGCATATCAGGGACCTGTTTGATGGCTCAAGGGGAGGTTCAGCTCAGTTGCTAACATCATATAAAAAACAAGAACATAAAAATGAAAAGGAGAAGACCACTTATGATTCTTTATCCTACTGCAGCAGCCTTCAGTGTAGTGTATGGCATTTACACTTGCACAGATGGAGTGAGTTGTCTGCGTATGTTTAGAATCCACCCCAATAGTTGGCTGAGATGACAGCAGTGCAACAAGTCTAAATACGAGACTGAACATCTGCCTTGTCTGTGCTGGCAAATGGGGTGAGAGACATTACTATGGGAGAATATGAAAGAGGCAGAATATAAAGGATAACTATGAGATGTTAAATTTAGATTTTTGTCCTGATTTCAATTAGCTTCCTATTCAGGCATGTTTGGGTTCAAAATAGCAGTTCAGCTCTTCATTACAGAAAGAAAGTCCCCTGAGGCACAGGTTAATTTTAAGAGCCCCCAGCAGCGGTGTGTCATCAGCTAAGGGTAAATTCTGGCCACACTGGAACTGATGTCAAATCTCCCATTGACTGGTCTTTACTCCTGGTCTTTAGTTTCAGCTGGCCCTGATCACTACTTCAGCACTACTGACCTCTTCAGCTCCCTTAAGCTTTTCATGCCCGGACATATGAAGAGTATCTTCCCTGGCACTCTACAGACTGGTCCTGGTCATCACTGCTGCCCAGCTCCCACAGGTCTTGCATCTCAACTCCTACTTCTTGCTCCAGCTCTCTCTCTCTGCAAGCTGCTTAAACCTGTAGCTCTTGATAGAGTCCCTGTCAATGTTATGGCCATTGTTGACTTACTAAGGACTGCAGCCACACCTGTGGACTTTCAATGGTTCGGAAAAAAAATTAAAGCTAGAACGGAAAACCATAAATCAACTGGAAAGTTTTCAGGAGCAGTGAAAGGCTGAAGTGTTAAAGAGAACTGGTTTATGGAGACCAGCTGGGAACCAAGGATCACACAGTTCCTAAGAGCCGTAGTTCTCTGCTCTTTGGTTCTCCTGCTCTCAGATCCCAGAGGGATGGAGGACTTTTGGGATACCTTGCCTCCTGCAGGAGACAGATTTTTCCTATACGATTCTGATCTTGTGCATTATGCCTTGTGTTGTGTCACGGTTGGCAGTAGTTTTATGAAGAGATTAGATTATGGATTTGTATAGGATGGTTTGGACAGGGATGATCCCGCGCCAGGCAGGGGATTGGACTAGATGACCTCTGGAGGTGCCTTCCAGCCCTGTTTCTCTATGATTCTGTGATCCGGGCCTTGGTTTAGATGTGAACCTCAATACAGAATTTAAGGAATGTTTGCATCTTGGGTTTTGCTCCAGACACTTTTCTGCCCTTCCTGGGGGGATGGGACACTTAATGAAATGTTAATTGCACTCAGCCACAACGTGGCCTGTTGCATGGAGAGCATTGCAAACAAAGGACATGAGCAGGACCATTATATAACAATGATATTGCTGGATAGCAAATGGATACTATAGGCTTGATTGTAACCCACAATCACAGCAATACAGCACATAACCTAATATTGCATTGCAAGACCTGCTCAATGTAAAGACGGCAGAATCAGTCTTGATATATTTAGACAGTACTTAATCATAGAGTCATTTATTACCTCACTGGATTAACATGGCTTTAACAAGATAGTTCATTATAAAGGACAAACCTGCAAGAGAATGTCATTTAAGCAACAGTGTGAGCAATCTGGTAATTGAATTAAAATGTGTTTGTCAGCAAAATGTTGGCATCATAACATGCTAGCCTGCTGGCTTGCAGCTCCCTGCCATGGTAAACCTTTTTTGTCAGCGTTTTGCCCTGCACAGGGCACACCGTGAGAAGACCTTATGTACTCAATGATGTTTATTAACAAAACACAAGTACTGGTATGCTTGGTTTGACCTGCCCAGTCTCACAAGGAAACCCTGCCCCTTCTGCATAAATAAATAAATAGATGGATTAAATTAGAACATTGCAACATCCCATCAGCCGTATTAACTAGTACATGTCCTATGATGTGCAAGTATTCCAACATCATTTAAAAATTAAAATCAATTATAACCTGGTAGCGAACACTGCCACTAACCCTGGAGCCCAGACTCTCTGCATTGCTTTTAGTTTCCTGTTTCTTGGGTGCTGTTTTATATCAGCCCTAGCTTTGGCACAAGTAGAGCAACTTAGGGACTGCCATATCCTCTAACAGCTAGTAGTGACACAGTAACAAGGTGTCCAGCTCCTAGAAGGGGTAAGGGTCTTGGGGTGTGACAGCCCTGTTCAGCTAGGAGGTCAAGCTCAGCAATGGGAAGGCATTCCTTATAAAGGGATGAGAGAAGCCATAGAAACGTGGCAGGAGGGAGACTAGGCAGGAAGCCCTGAGAGCTGCCACTTGAAGAAGAGGAAGTGTGCTGCAGGAGACACAGGCTTTGCAGTAGACTCAGAAGTCTGGGGACTTGAAGAAAGGTGCTTTTGTGAGCAACAGGTCAACATGGGCAGAAGATCCACCTTGTTTGAGGGTTTAGGTTAAAGAATAAAACCGTGCAGGGAAATAGGCCCATTTCCCTTACATGGAGGCAAACAATTGCTCAAAACACCCAAGAGGCTCTCTCTGAAGAGTTGGAGTCACCCTGCTGATCTTGCAGGGTTATGGGCTAGGGAAGACAGCTACCCCAAGGACTTGCTCAGGCCAGAGAAATTCTTTATAAGCATGAAGTGGACAGTACCCACTCCTTTGTGCTACCTGATTCAGGACACAACAAGGCCAGAATGGTCCAAATAAAGCAATTCTTAGCTTCTGTCCCTTTAAACAAGAAACCTGCCTTCCCCTCTCCACCATCTTTTGTGATTAGAAAAACAAGCACGTTTGATGGAAACACTGAGTGATTGCAGGTGCCATTACATAATGAAGCAGTGCTGCTCATTAACACCCTGTGATTTATCACCCAAGGAACAAGGAAAAAGCAGGTCTAAAAAACACAATTCTTACATTGCTTCACATTATTTCCAGTCCAGCAAGTCAGCTGCATGCTAGAACAGCTGAATTTCCAACTAGTAGTCCATGGTTCTGAAAAGATCAATGTTTTACCTCTCATGCCCTTTGCATCTGCAAAGCTGAAGTATAATTTAGACTCATAACTACCAGCTTCCCTAGATATTGTGTCCTACCTTCATACAGCCAGTCGCTGAGCCCATTGAAAATAACATTTTCCTTTCCAGTGGAGACCACTCGTATAGCTTGTTTTCCCACATGGGCACAGTAATAGATGTTATTCTCAAAGATAAATATCTAATTTGAAGGGAAAAAGAAAAGAGAACACTGTTAAGTAGCAAGTCTATTGTAAAGGGTGCATTGCTTTCACAACAGTGAACAATACATGATAATACATTACACGTCTACAGCAGATATGTCTTTTATCTCAAAGATCTCCAAAGCTTTGACTAACTCTTTTGGTCTTCCACACTTACACAGACCTGTTCTAACAGGCAAGTGTTACTTCCCTCTCTACTAAAATGCCGTCAATGCTTCACATACTGAAATACGGCAGGTAAGCATCGGTGATCGGCAATGAAAAGGCAGGCAATGAAGAATATACAATTTCAGTAATTCACAAACTATGGTGGCCTGGATCATTGGTGGCCTAAAGAGTACTTACTGAGGGACCTGGGCTGGGCACAGGAATAGGTTCTTTCTACTTGCTTTCAGTAGCTAACATTTCTTTAAAGGAGAGCTGTCAATGTATTGAATATCTTTGTAACATGGCACTTGAAAGTGCCTCATATAAACATCAGACTAGAGTGGGGAGGGAAGGGAAGGGGAAATAATTTGGGCCCACGGGCTACATAGGCAGTTTTAGGGAGCTGTTGCAGACATTTTCAAGCCATGGAGACTCCACAATTCAACACTAGTCAGTTTGTGTGTATGTCCAGAAGTTCCCCACAAAGGATCCATGTGCTAGTTAGCGCCCCTCCCAACTCATGACTAGAACCAGGTGTTCTTGTCACAAGTCCTGGAATCCTCTAAACATTTTTATGCAGGTGAAGTGCAGGGAAACCTGGTCTGGCTCCACTTCATGGGGGGCAGGATCACACTAATCATATACAACAGGCTGAGAGACGGGGTGACAGAGGGATTCTGGGTGAACTGCTGGGGCCCCATTTGATGATGTTTGCCAAACATTTAAGGCTGGGGAAGAAAGAGGAATCATTGGAAAAGGGGAAACAAAAGGACAACTCGGCTGTCGGAGTGAAGAGGAAGTAAAAATGTATGCAATGGAGTAGCTCACCATGACTTGAAAGAGTCGATGCTGAGGGGGACTAAGCACAATGGGCCCTACCATGTATTTTATTCAGATGGGTTGCACTAACCTATCCTTCTCCTGTGGAAGACCAGGAACCATCTCATAAACAGACACACAACCCCCTTTGTTGAGGACTCCATCAAAATGGGACTGAGTAAGATGCACTGGTACTACAGGAATATGGTAGATGATGATAGGGAAGAGATGGCAGGAATCATATGGAAGAGTTCAGATGCGCTGTTCAGAGCTGGATCCTCTGAGGAGAACAACGATGATGATGACAATGACAGAGACAACGACAAGGAGTACAATGATGAGTGAAAGGACTCTGGAAATGGGTGAAGTAGTTGAGGGGAGGGGGTGAAGAAAGGGGAGAGGGCACTGAGGTGGTCCTTTGCATAGCAGTAATGGGTAAAAGTGATGGTGATGGCCACGTGGGTGTGTGGGCATACCGTAACACTGCACAGTTCAGTTATTGTAATGGGAATAAAAAAGGTATACAGTAACTGTAAAGGTGTGTTTTGGACTGCCAAGTGAACCATATCGGTCACAAGACAGGTTGGTAGAGGTATATATATAGAAATAAATTTTTTTGCAAAAAAAATAAATTATTGTGCTAATGGGGGACTGCTTTTGCACTTTTTCCCTTGCTGCTCCTTGGCCTTTCGGCTAGGAGCAAGCAAGACCAGGAGGTACATGAACTCCAAGGCTATCAGTCCTGGGGCTTGCACATAGGCTGCCAGGTTGTCATCAGCATGTTTACCTCATATGGGCCATTTGTTCTGTAGTCATTCTCAGCAACATTTAATCAACTTCATAGTTGGCTTCCATTATTGACGTGCTGATTTTGGCAGCAGTTTAATGATAGACAATGTATTTAATGAGGTTTCCTTGTATACAAATATAAGACGAGGAACATTTTTTCCCCCATGCTAACTGGGTAAATAAATCTCCTCTTATAT